GTAAATATGAGCTATAGGATTACATTCAGCTTAGACTGCATAAACTGCAAACTCATATATGACTGATCATATTTTTTTTGTGGATGACATTATTATGTTTATTGAATTTGCACAAGTTAATTAATGGTAACTACATATATAAACATATTTATATTCTGTTCTGCAATGTAGATGAATGAGGAACTACATAAGGTGCATGTTACCTGTAATGTTACTGATGGTTAAGATTGGTAGAGTAATATGATGTAAAGTAGTGTTCAGTTGTCCCACTATTGAAGCAGACATTAAGGTGGATCAAGTAACACAGATGAAGTTGCTTTACCCATGACTCAAAGGTAGTTTTAATACAGTAACTATCAAGTTTATAGTTAACGCTAAGAGTAACCAGCATTACATTTTTAAAGGTTTGCATTGTTTTTTCAGAACTCTTATGCACATTGTCCTTGTCAAGGAAAGTTGTTTTCAGTTCTATAATTTGTATTATACGCAAATAGTATAGTTGCAGATAGAGCACAATTGATCAATGACAGTTTGACTGATTAATTGACTGACTGACTTATATTGAATCTTTTTTGTGTTTAACAAGATTTGTAAGAAATGTATTTATCACAAAATCTAAATGAGAAACATTAACACAGTAGGAAGCATTCTGTGCAAGTGGATATTAGTTATTATTTATAATGGATTCTCACATTCTGTAGTAGCTTCAAGTGTGAGAATATAATGATCACTTTGTATTGTCCTCTCCTTGGCAGCTTGGCAGCACAGCATATTCTGCACTCATAAATTCAACATCATTCTTCCTCTATCACTCTCTGTCCCCTTTCCTTCGTCTTTCCATTTCTCTCTTGCTCTCTTTTTCTCTCTCCAACATAGTTTATGTACTGATGCTCATTATGACTGTTGTTATGACAGCCTCCCTTGCACTTACATGCACACAGCAGCTGCAGTTATTCTGGTGATTTACAACCTCCTCCTCCCACAGAGAGAGAAAGAATGAGGCACACTATAGCTGTCTTTGAGGAGAGCTTTATGTTCACTGTAAACTAGCCACAGTGGCACCTCCACAGAGCCTATCTTACAAAGCAAACCGCAAGTATATTCGCCTGCAATAATGGGCTCTCAGGGATGACAATGGAAACATTCACTCAGTTTAATAATTATGCCCCACGTCACATAGCACCTTCTTATCCATGGCTGTCAGTTTTTTTTCAAGTTTCATGGCTACCTAAGAGTACTTCAGCTTTAATAAGTGGTGGGGAGGATTTTTCATATGCCAGAATGGCTGATGGCTTTTACAAATGATGCTTATTATGAGTGCTTGGGCTGTAAGTGATGTAATACACAAGACATGACTTTATTTAATCCCTGCCTCTACATTGCAAAGGACATGTTGCATATTGAAATATCACGTATTGCATCCACACTGCCAGGTAAAAATCACAGCTGCATTGTTATCTTCTATCCGTGTTCAGCTCTGGCTGTGATCCCTACTGCTCAACAAACACACCTTCATATACAGTGTAGTGCTTATGTCTATGGGAATCAACATTCCCAAAAGGCATTGATACGTACATGCAAGAGATGGTCATATTGTTATGTTATATAGTGCATGTATCATTTTTCAATGTATTATCTATAGAAAGGATGTACTGAGGCCGACTGCAGATGTAATTTTAAATGTCCACATTTCTAACATGACAGGAAGATATACTGTGTGTATGTGTGTGTGCCCACAAGAACCAGAGGGAGAGGAGCCTCCTTGATGTTTCATACATCATAGTAAACCCTCCTGTTTGATGGGAGTGTATTGATGAGTGCAGCAGAGATAGTTTAGGAGGAATACATGGCAACAAGCATCTATTCAGCATGCTCAAGCTCTCCTCAAAGCATGTGCTGTGGTGCACATGCAGCATGCCAGAAAGAGTGGAGTGTGAGCTGTTATATAATCACCAACCAGGGATGAAGTGTTGCGAAGGCAGCATGTGCAAGGATCTGTTGGTGCAACTATAAAAGCACCCAGCTATTGAGTTATTTATTGTTATTTTTTTCAATAAGTGAGAAAAAAATACTGCCTCCAAGTTTAATTCCAGTTTTTCCATGTTTTATGTTACCTACTGCCTCATTTTTGTGTCAATCTTCCAACATCTACCCCTTCAAATGTTTTTGTTAAAACTAACCTAAGTAAGGTATTCTAGCATTTCTTTAAAAAAATACAGTAAAAATGGAAGTTTAAACCCATACAGTGTTTCACACTGGATTTAGTCCCATTATGGTGCCATTATGGTGTTGAAGGTGTTACAATTGCCACTATGCTATTTATGCCTTTTGAAAAAACTAAATTCTCAAACTCGTGGTTGTCAGCACCCCAAGCCAAATAAGGCAAAAACAACAGCAACATGACAAAATGTATTTAAGTCAAACAAGGACTTCACTGAGAAAAGCTGCTCCTGTTTCCCTGACTCCATCCAGTCAATATCCAAGCCTCCAGTTCCCAAGGTGCTGTGGGATGTCAGATCTGTAGCCGACGGGCATATTCAAAAATGCATGTTCAGCCTCTTTGCCAGGGAGTGGATGTGCCAGTCATGACAAAAAGTTCCCTGAGACAGCAAGTTTATTTAACATAGTTTTTCATGGATGATTGGTAGGCTTCTTACTTCAGTGAGCTACATGAGCATCTGACTGCTGGGTTGACTGTTTTATGGTGTCCTAGATTTACCACCAGAGAATTTTACTGCAAGTTATCAAACTCACTTTATTTGTGTATAAAATATTAACCTACTGTATGTGTTTCAGGTTTTTGTGTATGCCATCGTGGAAAAAACTGTATCTTGTATGTACTCTTAATGTAATCGGAATCAGTGCTCTGAAGGCTTTTTAGGATCACAGTGGGTTTACTGACTTGTATATCCAGTATCAAGCCAAAGCATGTAATAGACCTGCTGATCCACTAGAGGATACCGTGTCAGTGCTACTTTTTTCCCTGCCTAGTCGTGAAAAGGACACATGTATATGCAGGTACAATACCAGCAGGGGGTGATAATCACAGGAACAGGGAGGTCAGGGTGGATGCATGGGTCAAACATGGGTCTTTCACACATTAGATTTTCACCGCTGTTGATATCCAGTGTGAAACCAAATTTCAACGTTGACTTG